GCAGATTAAGGTTAGAAGTGATTTTCTCATGCAAAATTTTAAACTTTAACTTCTTGTTTATCCTTCCTTATCTAATATTTTCATGAATGATAAATCTATGCATCATTGGTGGTATTTGTATTAGTTTTTCTTCTGTTTGGAAAAAATATATATTTATTTTCAAGGTTAGATGATATGGTATGGATGAATTATTTTTTACTGAAGAATTGATGGATTTGAGACGATAATTGATGGTGTTAAGTTAAATTAGGCATGCTCTGCATCCATTTAAACTTACACAAATTGAAAAAAATCATTCTGTATTCATTCGTGTAATTAGCGGATGCGGATTGAGCGGGCCATGCAGATTCGCAAGTTAATACAGATTGGTTTGGTAATTTGTGCTTTATTGTTTTGGACATTTTTTTGAACTATTTTTCAGTGATTCTTAACTATTTTGCACCCAAAATTTTTGGTTGTTTATTTTTTATAATAAAAATAAGGGCAAATTAAAACAATAGTCCTTGTAGTATAGTCCTTGTGTAATTTTGGTCATTGTAATTTCAATTGGCTTGATTTTGACCTTAAATTTATGACTTTGTTTTAATTTGGTCCAATTGATTACAACTCTTAATATTTGTTTTTATGAAAAATATGTATATAAGTCACATGTGCCATATTTTTAAAAGTAAAATTATAAATTTACTCAATTTAGTGAGTTAACCTCCAATTCAATAATTATTTTCCATCAAAAACATGAACGGCAATATCAATTGGACTAAATTGACACAAAATTTAAAATTAAGGGTCAAAATTAAGTCAACTGAAAGTGTATGGACCAAAATGACACAAGGGGTAAAATATAATGACCATCTGTGTAAATAACAAATATAATTACTAGAAGGTCCTTTTCTTAACACAAAACATAAAAGCATAACTTCATTTTCTTAGGAATATTGGTGAATCAAGTTGGGTCGAGTGGCCTCCTATCTGTCATTCGTCTGAACTTAAGCAGACTGGAAAAAATGCATTTGCATCCGTCCATTAGGGCCTTTGAAATCATTCATTTTGTAGCGGATTGATTTGGGTCATTAAATTTTGACAGATCATATGGATGTTTGTCCACCTCTAAGTTAAATATATAGGGAGAAAGTTATTTGTATATTGTATATATGGGAAAGATAACTCTAATGAAGGTAAAATAGAAACTTAGAAACAAAATTTTGCATAACGAAATACAAAATTTTTGCGTAACTATTTCGTTTAGTCAATAATGCTTGACTAACGAGAGGATTAAACTATTACAAAAGCTTTCAAAGTAAGAGAGGTGAGTGATATTTCAGAGAATAAAGGAGCTGACAATTTTATTTTAGAAGTATTAAGGGGGTGTCGATGTAATTTACTCTTAACTATTGTATGTATATTTTTAGGGATAAACTACCAATAGATCCTAATAGTTAGACTGAATTCCTATCAAGTCCTAATAAAATCGTCGCTAAAAATATTTTTAGGACGATTTTTTACATATGTCGCTAAAAATTGACAATTAGTATTTTTTTTGTCACGTTTTTTTTTTTTAAATTTTCGTTGAAACTTACAATTAGTGACATTTTCCTATGATGAAGTTTTCAACCTGTCACTGAAAGTTGAAAATTAGTGACATTTTTTTAAATTGTCGCTAAAACTTATGATTAGTGACTTTTTTATGATAAAATTTTTAAACTGTTGTTGAAAATTAACAATTAGTGACATTTTTTTAATAGTATTTGATGAAAAACGTCATTAACTATTATAAAACCTATAAGACAATAAGTCTACTTATTAAGACTTACACGTAAATCTCTCATTTTTTTAGCAATGTTTGAGAAAAATTTAGACACTACTTTACTTCCCATTTCACATGGGGTGCTTGACCAATATTCTCACTTCGTGTGAGTCTTATCTCTCTTGGAATTTAGACAGGATACAATAAGTCTTATAGTTTTGGTATGAGGGTAAATTACCAATAAGTTGTACTTTTGGGATTTATTACCCATTAAGTCCTAGTGATAAATTTATCATCAGTCTTTTTTGTTTTGATGAATAAATTTACAGTGATAAATTTATCAATCAGGACTGTAAAATGCTTGGGGGTACCCGTGCGCGTTAAATAGTTCGGACCCTCGATTTCTTTTATCTAGTCTCACAAGTGCAATGTGAAACATAGATGAGAGTCCAGATTTGGCAACTTTTATAGAAAATCAATTTTAGTGCAAAACCATTGCCAGAAATGGACTGCATCACTAGATCTTAAAGTCGCCACCTAATATTTTGAGAAAATTAGAAAACCCTTGTCTCATGCCAAGGCTACTGTTTGTCATAACCAAAGATGTTTGGCTCGAAACTTTCGGTATGAGAGAGGAAAGTCATTAATTGAGCACCTCCGTTCACCTGATCAAAAGATCGACCTCTACTAAATCATGATATGAGTTTTATTTGCTTTATATGTTCATGTTCCAATTATTACCAAATCCTAAAAGTTACTATGTGACACATACAAGTATAGACTATGTCATTCATTTTGGAACAACTTGATTTCATGCATTTTGAAAGAGTTTTGAATATGTACAACTCAAAGAAATTGTGTTTACAAACATGAAAACCAATATTATTCCAAATTAAGTGACACAATCTCCATCTACTAGCATTCATACAGTTATATCAAGTAAGCAAATAACCTCATGGTAGGATGCTCAAACATAGTAAGAAAAACACACACAAGCAGGATGCTAAAGCATAAAAACTTATATATTTACCGACGTTCTGCGAACAGTTACAAAACAAAGTTAGCGAAATATGCATGATCTTATATACAAAATTCTAATGCAATTTATTCATGAGATGCAAGTAAAGATTTGGCTTCTAATATATGACATATGAATCATCCTAAGAACATGAGGTAGCGCACATAATCACATAGGAATTGATTAAATCTACAAATACAAACTTAGCCGAATCAAGATGCATAAAATATGGATGCAAAGCATGTATATGATTAAAAACAAAATATTATGCATATTCACAAAGGAAAGAAAATTAAAGAATGAGATAGAGAGAAGCGGGGCGGGAATTATTACAATACTTTGAATAAATAATTACAAGCCAATGAGAGAATAAAGAGGAAAATAATACAACAAAATAAAAAATAAAAACCTCACAAAGCACTCACCTGAAAGTAAAATAAAAGCTTCATGTACCTTGGAGACCACCGGAAATTGGTATGCTCAACATCGAAAGACTATGTTGTTCTATCCAAAAGAAGTTAACCGACAGGCCCACTAGGCCAACCGACCAACTAGGCCTATCAAAACATGTCTGATTGCAACACTAAGAAAAGAACAAATAAGGAATATGTAGATGGCTTAACTAACTACTTCCAGTTAGATTACAACAAAACTAATATGAAACTAAAGTAAGAAAACAAATATAAGATAGAAAGTGCAAGAAAATGAATAGGAGATAGAAAATGCAAGAGAATGAAAGAATTGAAAACTAACTGCTTCCGGTTATATTACAGCAAACCAATATGAAACAAAAGCAAGAAAATGAATTTGAAATATAAATGAAAGAATTGAAAATTCTCCTTCCAAAGAAAGAGTGGACTTTTTGATTTCCAAACTTTCTCTTGATCACCCTCAAGGTTGTGAATTATGATCTTAATCCTCAATTCAAGAGCTTGGAATTTGAGCTTAAAATTATGGTTTTGGACAAGTGTCTGATCACTCTTTAATCTTCTTCAACTTAGCAAGACTATTTTCTCTTTGATCAAAGCTTTAGGACTTGGTTCTTGAGTGGTTTTTGCAAGGAAAGATGAGATGTATATAGGGTTGGTAACTTCACTAATTTGGCAAAACAACTCTCTTGTTTTCAAGGCTTTCTTTTCTCTTAAATTTAACTTAAATTTAGCATTCTCTCTACACTTCTCTTCCAATTCCCTCTCAAACTCAAGACTAGAGCTCTTATTATATAAGCAATGCAAGTGGGCAATGATGGAAGACAAAGTGGAAGACATGAATGAAGCACTTAGGGAAGATAATGGAGCTAATAGAGCACTATGGAGTTAATGGGAGACAAAAGTGGAGCATTCATAAGGATAATGGAGCAAATGGAGCACTAATGGAGCTAATGGGAGACCAAAGTGGAGCATTATCCTCAATGGATCAAGCATTAGTCAATGGAGGGTAAGTAGACATGCATTTGGTGCAAAAATGGGTCAGAAAATGGAATAGTGGAGTGCCCCACACAAGCAAATCGAGCCCATTGCTTCACAGGTCGCGGCCGCGAGCAACCTGGTCGCACCCGCAGTTGTTACGTAGTCGATCGGGTGGACGACAGGGCAGTCTACCGACTAGAGGAAAGTTTGCCTGTTTTGCTCCAATTTAGCCACGTTTTGCTCCAGGTGTCCAACAAGACCTAAATACTTGACCAAAGTAGGCTTAGGGTTGGGAATAAAATTCAAATTCCGTCTCTCTTACCGAGGATTTTGTGACAAACATATTCTGATTGTCATCATCGGGTAATCAAAAGAAAGTACCCAAGTCTTGGGACTGGTCAAAATAAAGTGTCTACAAGGGCCTTAATAGGACTGATTGGTAAGTGCCCATTGGTATCATTATATTGAACTCCGTTAAAATTTTAATTTGTATAAAAATTAACCTTGTTTTCATTAATAGTTCGTTAGTTAAATAAATAAAAAATGACATTATCATATATTTTACATTGAAATGTATATTTTACCTTATTCATCCTTGTATTTTTACGTCATTTATATTAGTTCTCATTTTTTTAACCTTACTAAAAGGAAAGTCAATGTAATTATACTAATATTGTGAGGATGTTATAATTTTTTGGGCACTCGGTCCATAAATCCAAATTTGGATTTTGTTCGACCAAAAGTTCAGACGCTCAAATACTTTGCTCATAAGGACAAACTTGAGCAAAATGACCAAAATACCCATTTTATATATATTGCATCTGAACGCCCAAAGAAAACCTTAACACAACCGTGTTATTTCCTCTCTCTCTCTCTCTCTCTCTCTCCTACACAAACCATAATCGTTTCTCTCTCCTCTATCCATCTCCAAATCATGCGCTAAAATACCTTCATTCTCCGGTATACTCCGACAAGATCTTCATTGTCCTTGCCTATATGTAGAACCTCACCAGTTTTCTCTTTCACTGTAACCGATCGAACCAATCTAGCTAAGCCCAGCTCGTGAAAGTCAACCTCGACTCCGATGGTGGCGGCGGCAAGATCGAGGTCATGGGGTTCCGATCTATTCATTTTTTATGAGAACGATCCTCCAGCAACTCAAGAGTTGGTAAATCTAACATTCTCTCTAGATTCACCAGAAACGAGTTTAGTCTCAAGTCCAAGTCTACCATTGGCGTCGAATTCACCAATCGCAGTCAAGGCCCAGATTTGGGACACCATCGACCAAGAAAGGTTCATATCTAAACCCTTATTTCTCTCTCTCTCTCTTTATATATATATACACATATGATGTTGTGTCTATCGATTCTACAATGTGACACTACTACTCTGTTTCACTGATTGATGAGTTGTATATGTTCGTAATGTAAAATTATTTTTTTGCTTTAATTGTTTTAATTTACTTTTATTTTTTTGCCTTTTGTTCTTCAGATCTGGAAATTCTGGTCACCGGTGCCAAGATCTGAGTTGAGGAGTCTGCCTTCAAATCTGTTGCCATTTTTACCTAGGGTTAGGGTTTTGTACCACCCTATTCCCTTAGATCTACCCATCTATCGCCATCTCCATCTACATCACTCTCTTTGTTTTTGTTTCCCCTCTCTCTAAATATATATTTGATCTCAGAGTTGTTGCAGATGAAAATGATGATCAGTTGAATGTGTTGGATTTTTTAATTATTTTTTTATTTTTTTACATTTGAGCTCAGATCTGTTAAATGTGTTGAATATATGTGTTAGATCTTGTGTGTAGGTGTGTTGTTGTTGTTGATAATGATGATTATGATGCTAATAAACAGATAGGATTTGGTAATGATGTTATTATTGATGAACATATAAGATTTTTTGTTACTGATGAATATATAAGATTTGTTATTATTGATGATGATTTTAAACAGATGAGTAAGAGAAAGATAAAGAGAGACAGATAGAGAGAATAAATTTTTGAACATATAGGATTTTGGTTTGGCATGATATTTCAACAAATAGAAAAAAAAAATAAATTAAATAGATAAAATTTTAATATGTAAAATTTAGAAAAACAAATTTAACATATAGGAACAAGAATTGAATTGAAAATATCATAAAATTAAACAAATAGGTAAAAAAAATTGAATAGATAGATAAAACAAATTAAACAGATATATATATATATATTTGAACAGATAGTCAACTTATAAATTAATAGGTAAAATTATAAACATTATGTCCTTAAGGACTTCTTACCAAACTATTTCACAAATGGTAGTCCTCTCACTAACAAAAAATATCCACTGGACTTAATGTCTTATGCCCTCCTTACATTAGACTTTTTAACAATTATCTCTAATTTTTTTCAAATGTCAAGGGAGTGAACATGCCGAATCACATCATCCCTTCTCAAATTTGTGTGAGCCCAAGCTCAACACATCCCATTCAACTCTGCATAAGTAGCTGCTTCACTCGTCCCAAACTATAAATGCATTGAGATGAGTATTATTCTCATTAAATGTGATTAGATAACTTACTAAATCTAAAAAATATTTAAATTTGTATTATTTATATTTTGAATTGATCTCAAACAAGATTGAATCAAGACAAGTTTAGCTAACTTGATTTTGCGTAGTACATATAAACTTATTAGACTAAATAATAAATTATTTAAGTTTAATTTAAAATTTTAATGAGCTTTATAGGGTTTTTTTTTTTTTTTTTTTTTTGATAATGTTGTCAGTTTTGTGTTTACCAAATATGAGAAACAAGTTTTTATTTTTTTGGTGGTGGCTAGTAGCAACAATGGATGTGGATGATAGGTGGAAGTGGTGAGGAAAGGAGACGAAAGTAAAAATTTGTTTTGAAATCAAGTAAAAAAAAAATGTTTGCAAAAATGTTAAAAATTTTGGAATCATTTTTATTTATTTAGTTATTTTAAAACAAAAAATATATATATTAAACAACAATCGTTTTCAATTTCAAAAAAATAAAAATGAAAACAAAAACAATAATCATGAGTTTTAAGTATGATATATTTGCATAACAAAATTGATCTCAAACTGTGGAGGTACAAAATTAAGACAAAAATTAAGTATGGACTTAAGTACTGAGGTCGCCTCTGTTAGATGAGCAAGTATAATTAAAAGAGCATGAGCTAAAACCTAAGGAAAGTAGGTCAATAGAGGGCCGAAACAAGTCCAACCCGCCAAGGGTTCGAATGGGATCTATGCAGCAAAATAGCTAAGTCAAGTTGCAGAGGCAACACTTGTAGAGGTCAAGTTACTGAGGCACTTTGCCTTAACGCCGCCAGTCTCAATATTGTCAACACCACCAGCTCAAGTATTGTCAGCGCCGCCACTTGAACTTGCCACGAGAAAGAGTTGTTATAGCAACCATAGCTGTTGCCATTAACTTGCAGAGGCATTACTTGCTGTGGTCAAATTACAAAGGCAACACCGTCATCTCTAGCATTGTCGGCGTCGCCATTTGAACTTGTCGAGGGCCGCCGCAACAACTACAACCATCGCAACTAACTTGCAGAGGAAAGACTCCATTAGGATGATAGCAACCTTTGAGGGAGGTTTTTTCTCCACAAGTAGAGACTAATGTTTGGCGTTGATAGCAGGCCCTAAAGAATTATTAGCTCGACGCTGATAGTAGGCCTCGAAACTCACTAGATTGGCGTTGATAGTAGACCCCAAAGCTTACTGGTAGGAGCAGATAACAGGCCCTCTATATACCAGTATACCTATAGCGATTCCGATTTTAACCCGACCCTTTTACATCTTGAACTCGGGTTTCTTGGTTCCATGTTGTTGTTTATATCTTACTTTCCTTGTATCTCCTTAAATTTGGCTTTAGAATTGTTGTGGTTGTATTTGGGACAGGTTGGTTGCTTGGTTTCCAAACTCTTATTGCCCATAATTCTGCTCCTCCGCTTGAGCTGCATTTCTTGCGCTCGAGCGGGATTTGTAAACTCTCAGTATTTTGTAAGTCAGCAAAACTATTGTGAGAGTGTATTCTACGCTCGAGCGGATCTTTCTGCGCTCGAGCGGGCTTAGCTTGAGCGGCTATTCTTATGCTCGAGCATTGGTTTGTTGTCTGCAAAACTACTAGGAGTCTACATTCTGCGCTCGAGCATCACTTTTTGTGCTCGAGCGAAACAACTTATTGTGTCTGACGCTCGAGCGTCAACTCTTGCGTTCGAGTGGACTGTGCGTATATCAGTTCATAACAGCCACATTTTTCATCACTTTTTCATCTCTTTCTCTCTCTAAAACACTTCAAAACCTTAGATCCTTAGCTTCTCTCTCTAGAAATCACATTCTCTTTATATTTTCACCTAGGTCTATTGGTTTCTCTACCCTAGTGTCATTGGGAGAAAGGTAGAGCATCTCAAGAGCTCCATTCTGATCTGAACAAAAGTCGATTTCAGCGTATTTGAGGTTTTCTCCGTACTTTACTCGTCTTCTAACTTTGAGGTAGGGACTTTCTACACTTTCTTATGATTTTAACTTAGTTATTCGTTGATTGTGTAGATAATGTTGGGATTTGGAGGATTTTAGACAAACCTAGGGTGTTGGCTTAAAATCAAAATAAGGGTTTTCAAATGGAGATGTTGAAAGTGGTTGTGGGTATAGATATGAGGATGTGTTATGCTAAATTTATTGATTTTGATGCATGGGTTGAATTTGGGAGAGAATGGGGTTTTGCCCTAAAATATTTCAAATAATGATTTTGTTTATATTGGAAATATGAAATTAGATGAATGTTTAAATAAATGGTGAAGTTGGATGTGTATTATCTCTCACCTATGAAAATTTGGATAATTTATCTGTCTTGGAGATTGTATATCTGTTTAGAAATATCTGTTTTGGGCTATCGGTGGAGGATAGCTATGATTGTTGTAGAAATTACATGAGGATTAGGTGAATTAAAAGACATCTTTTAACTATTGTCATTGAATATGATTGTGTGTTAATACATTGCATATGTATGATATTTGAGAGCGGAAAGTGAATCTACTCCATGTTTGGGATGGACTCTATTCAATTAAGTTGGCCTATGTGTCCAGGATGAAAGTCCCGAAAATTACGCGTATACATGGGTGTCAATTCTCGCGGACTAAATTTCCATAACATGGCAAATTGAAGTATTTGTGTAATGGTTATATTGATTAGGGAACCACTAAGTTGTAGCCTCAATTGGTTGGGAGAAAGGTAGAGCATCTCAAGAGCTCCATTCTGATCTGAACAAAAGTCGATTTCAGCGTATTTGAGGTTTTCTCCGTACTTTACTCGTCTTCTAACTTTGAGGTAGGGACTTTCTACACTTTCTTATGATTTTAACTTAGTTATTCGTTGATTGTGTAGATAATGTTGGGATTTGGAGGATTTTAGACAAACCTAGGGTGTTGGCTTAAAATCAAAATAAGGGTTTTCAAATGGAGATGTTGAAAGTGGTTGTGGGTATAGATATGAGGATGTGTTATGCTAAATTTATTGATTTTGATGCATGGGTTGAATTTGGGAGAGAATGGGGTTTTGCCCTAAAATATTTCAAATAATGATTTTGTTTATATTGGAAATATGAAATTAGATGAATGTTTAAATAAATGGTGAAGTTGGATGTGTATTATCTCTCACCTATGAAAATTTGGATAATTTATCTGTCTTGGAGATTGTATATCTGTTTAGAAATATCTATTTTGGGCTATCGGTGGAGGATAGCTATGATTGTTGTAGAAATTACATGAGGATTAGGTGAATTAAAAGTCATCTTTTAACTGTTGTCATTGAATATGATTGTGTGTTAATACATTGCATATGTATGATATTTGAGAGGAGAAAGTGAATCTACTCCATGTTTGGGATGGACTCCATTCAATTAAGTTGGCCTATGTGTCCAGGATGAAAGTCCCGAAAACTACGCGTATACATGGGTGTCAATTCTCGCGGACTAAATTTCCATAACATGGCAAATTGAAGTATTTGTGTAATGGTTATATTGATTAGGGAACCACTAAGTTGTAGCCTCAATTGGATTGTCTAGATAAAAATGGGTTTGACTCATGAATTAAGGTGAAATGAACTGTCATGAAATGAATTAAGATAAAACGGATTGAGATATGACACTTGGCATATTATGATCTTGTAAGAATACGAATAAGTTTACTATGGGCATTATATATGCATATCATACTTACATCTTTGTTAAGATTCATACATTGTGCTACATTATTTCTACTGGGCTTTGGCTCACCTTACTTGGAAAAAACCATTTTCAAGTGCTGATAATATGCCTCCACCAAGGACTTAGTTTGGGAGGATTGTGAAGCTGAAGACTCACTTTTGTTTATTTTGTATTTACTTTTTGTACAAGCATAGGGCTTTATTTGTATTGAGCTTATGACTCATTTTGTGTAACCAAGCATGGTCTAGGAAAGATATAAGCCTTTAAGGTATATGAATATTTGTTTAGCTTTCATTCAATCTACTACTTGTAACACATGTTGTAGATTCAAGATGAGTTATTTATGAATGTATATTGCATATGTCACCTTTTGTAAATTAAACTCTGATTAATGAAAGCATGTTGTTTCAATTATACTTTTACTTATGAGATGAGTCTATCGTATTTATTTTGGGACATTACAATACCACGGTGACCCTGTGAAGATAGAAGCATGACAGCTCGAAAGCAAAGGACTCCCTTTCCATTTACCTAGGTTATGGACATGTCTTGGTTGCACAGGTAGGAACAAGGAAGCCTCTTTGGGCTTGGTACAAGGCATAGCCCTTACTGTGGCCCGCGTCTTGGGAAGTTTGTGAGTCTGTGGTTAGATGGCTAAGGATGAAGGAGCTGCTAAGGTAAACACAAACATGGCTAATAACAGGCTATGATGTCCAAAGAATGCATATCTTGGCCAAACTGAACTGAAAAGACAAGTGCATCAGCAAGTACTACCGCTGCAAGTGCACTTGCTGAGGGTCAAAGAGGAAGTTATTGATGTATGTGCCAAATAGATAGTACAATGGCACATACTGAGACACATGTGCCAAATAGGTAGTACATAGTACATGCAGAGGGACATGTGGCAACCTTAGCCTGATAGTCCGAGATAGAATATTCCATGTGATCCCCAAGGACGCGTGTTCTCAACTTATTTGGTCACTTGGTATTCTTTGGTACCAATGAATAACATATATATATGACCCATTTCCTAAGGCCAAAGGAGAACTTCTTGGGATCTGGGGGATACGCTGCCCATTTGTGCACTGTCATTTCTTTCTTCTTAAACCACTTGTTCCACCCTCACTCAACTACTCATTCTCCAACCTTTCTAGATTTGTTGACTCATTAACATAGTTTTTCCTCTCCGATTACTCTCATAATCATTGTTCATTTCGAATCCCCGACACAAACAAATTTTTAACGAATTGAATACAAGTTTAGAACGAGTAATTTGATATGTTTTACAATCCTATACGTAAATACCTTCTATTACATGGTATGCGTTTTTGTACGTTGCATACTCACACGGAGGTTATGATTTCCACTCAAGTACAAGTTAGTTAGGGATTGTTTGGAATGATCTATGAAAAGATGTGAAAAAAAATAGATAGATAATATAATACAAAAAAGATAAAAATAAAAAAGTGTGTTAATAAAAATCATACCATTTATGCTACATAGCTCGAATCCTCCCTTCCCTGAATCCTCCGAATTCAAAACGACGTCGTTTCGTCGTTTTGATTTTTTTTTATTTTTTATTTTTCAATAACGCAGAAGAAGAGAAACAAAGAAGAAGAAGAAAGAAAGAAGAGAAAATGAAAGGAGCAAAGCAGAGAAAGAGAGAGAGATCATCTTCATCATCAACCAAAAATCAAGCCCATCCCAACACATCATCATCAACACAGCTTCATCATCAACCAAAAATCAAATCCACCCCAACACAGTAGAGATACACAGCACAGAGGGCTCAAAAAAATGTAAAAATCAAAATAGAAATCAATCAAAAAAAATGTAAAAATCTAAAAAACAATTTCAACACAACATCCTCATACACAAATCAAAGGCGGAGATCAGAGATCGGAGGCAGAATCAGAGATCGGAGGTGGCGAACATCTTCATCGGCAAACATCTTCATCAACAGCAACATCATCACCATCAACACATCATCATCGCCATCAACAACACATCTTCATCTCCATCACCGCCATCACCCTCCTCTTCCTCTATTCTTCCTTCTCTATTTCTCTCTTTCTCTCTTTCTTTCTTTCTTTTGGGTTTGATTCAAAAGAGAAACGAGAAGTGGAAGGGAAAGAAGGAAAAAAAAAAAAAAAAATCTTCTTGAAAACGTCGTTTTCAAAATTTAGGCCATTCAGGGAAATATATTTCAAGCTACAAACCATTTTCCTAAATCATACCAAACAAGCTCCTAATGTAATACTTTTAAGGTTTGGTTAATATTGATGGCTGTTTAGTCATATCTCTGTCGTACACCATTTAAATAATAATAAATAAATAAAAAGTGCTTAACTCAGCAAAACTTTCAATGAACCTACCTTGGGTGATTAAAAACCAAATTAAATCAACAAATTCATCCTATGACCCTTTCAAAATCTCTGTTTTTTAAAATTAAAAATAAAATCTAGAAGCCGGCGCTGATTATTAATATTTTGAAAAACAGCCAAAAGTTTAGCTAATAACAGCCTGACGATAAAATAATAGAGAGCACATGTACAACTTCATACCAAAAAAAAATTTAAAAGATAATCTAAATAAGAAAGCTCTTAACATAAACAATTCTAGTGTTTGGTGGTTATGCAAGTCTATTAAATTAAGTTTAGCAATCTGTTAATTATTTATAAATTTATTTAGGGGATTTTTAGGGATCTCTAACTTACATGTATATGAAGCAGTTCTAATCATTTATTTATTTATTTATATTTACTAAAAAAATAAAAATAGAAATTCCTTAATCATTAGGTTTAGGGGATAATGATCTAGCCTCTTACACAGCCTGGCCTTTGGTGTTTTTACTTTACAGTCTTGCATGAAAAAGAGAATTGGGTTTACATTCCCTTACCTGGTTTTCCTCCCCATTTTTCTATGTTAATATTAGCAAACAAAAATTTTGGATTTGAAAAGAAAAGAAAAGAAAGTGTATATGAAATTGGGTTTGTGATTATTAATATCGTATGAAATTGGGTTTGTGTAATCATAAGATATTATGATTTCAACCATTTCATTAAGGAAAATGTTTGAAATCCCCACAAAAGACGATCCTCACAACCCCTACTGATGTATTGACCATTGATATGCTTGAATTTTTTTTGAAAATTGTGTCTGACAGTGACATAAATGGTTCAGATCATTTTAGGGGTTGCGAGGGTTGTGTTTTGTGGGGATCTCTATCATTATTGTTTCATTAATTCCAATGAATTTCTTTTGAATGATTGTACAAGATGAGAATACAGTCTATCAAAATTCAAAACCAATCCAACCAAGCCATCCCCTGTTTGGCTGTGTTCTGGTTCATTTACATTTTCGTTTTCATAAGCCATCCCCTGTTTGGCTGTGTTCTGGTTCATTTACATTTTCGTTTTCATTTTCATAATTTTTGAAATAAAAATAATGAAAAATTTGAAAACACCCGTTGTATTTATATTGTTTTAATGTTTGTGGGAAAACAATATTTGAACATTTGAAAATAGTTTTATGATGTTTCCTAAAAGTAGGTTGTTAAAAAAAAAAAAAAAAAAACACTAAAAACATTCTTCAGAAACATTTTGCCAAGCAAATTTTATGCATTTTCAAAACATGAACAGGAGAAAAAAAGAAAAAGAAAAAAAGAAAATCCTACCAAATAATTTAGCATACATGAAGACAGATGGTGAGCTACTTCAATTAATGATCTTTGTTTACATACAAAAGGGCAGGGCACCCATAAATGTTGTGTTGCATACCCCTTGGTAACAATTCTGGTTTGAAAAATTATATTTTTACTTTTATACAAAATTCATAACCAAAAAAAAAAAAGTGATGGTGACATTTGTAAAATAATGAAGATAATAGTAAGTGTTTTCATTGCAAATTAAGGAACCGCAATGTATCACATAATTTTGTATAAAAATTATGTTTGTATATCATTACTCTTCTGGTTTAAATAAGCATTTTAGTGATAATCATAAGTTTATACCCACCACTTAGTTGTTTATTGCTTAAAGCATGATCCAAAGCAAAAGCAATCTTTGCTGCTTCAGCTAATTATTTGATTTTATATTTTACATCATTTTTTGCACATCCATTTCCCTCATAAACTTTAAAACAAAGAAAAGAATGAAAGCTGGCTTCAATCAAGTATTAAACACTCACTCACTTTATATACTTACAAATGGGTACATGTATACAACTAAACCAACTTTGCTCCTTCAAAATAATAACCAAACCTCATGTGATGAAATGATGAAAGACAGAGATGGAAAAAGAGTAGGCACTTGCCCCTCTTTTCCCTCTCCAAAAAACAAAACAATTAAAAATTTGAAAAACATTTCCTACTCCTGTCTATAATGAACTAGTACTAGGCTTGTTTTTCTCACAACACACAAAAGGACAGGGTGGCTTCATCTAACTAACCTGCACACACATACACCCATCATCAACTTTTCCTTCAAAAGGTGAAGATGGGCACTAACCCACAAAAACTAGGGCTTACATGGTCACAAAAAAACAAAAACAAAAAGACAAAGGTAGGAGGACTTCCAATTTTGTAGTCCACCAAGATGAAAAAACAGACACATACCAGGAGCTTCCCTCTCCCATCAAGGGACTTCCTGTCTTCAAAGACTCAGAATTTAATCAGCATTTGCATTTGATCATCTTCTTGCTGGTGCTCTCTTTCTGTCCCAAGTCCACTGCCGTTAATGAACTCCGATAGCATGATCTGCATTTACAATTCAAATCAAGAAAGGAATTCAAACTACAATTTAGTACTAGAATGCTACAAAAATCAGTAGTGACAATAATAACAGAAGGGTGCATCAAATTACCTATTTTCTTGTTGACCATAATGGTTAAGCACAATGTCATACTAGAGCACCGTCGCTCAAATTCCTCACTCGGAGATCCACATTCCTCAGATCGCGAAGATGCTGTAAAATCTCTTGAAGAAGATCCATTCCCTTATCTCCTTTCTTCAAGGAGTTAATGCAATGCTTTAGGAACTCTCTGTCTGCCTCGAGAGCTTGTAGCCTCCCATAGAGATGATCCACCTCCTCTTCAATGGCAGTCTTCCTGTTTTCCCTGTCAACACTTCTGAAAACAGCAGTCTGCAACATATCAGAATCAAAATCAAAACCATTTACATGTCCATTCTCTACTACATCTTCGTATTCAGCATTAATTGCATTGAAAAGTGGAAGAAGTCTCTTTCCTTGCATGCACCCATGATTCTTTTCTCTTGATGATGTTTCCCATTCATTTCCTTGTGAAAACCATTGACAACCCCATTGACAACCCCATTAGCTTCTTGACCACCAAAATCCGAGTCCCCATCCAAATGTTTGCCATTCTCTTCGTAGAAATGTTCAATAGGCTTTACGTCCTCAAATTGTTGTTCCTCTTCATCGTCCAATGTAAATAGCTTCTCCTCCAAAACCTTGAGGTGCTCTAGGATGGACATCCTCTCTTCCTCAAAGTTAGACAACGATTCTTCCAAATTCAAAACTGCATCGACAGGGGTGTTGTGGTTGCCATTTTCTAGATCAACGCTATCTTCTTCTTCCTTCGCATCTTGATTTAGATCAATAGACAGACCATCACTATCCCCAGCAATACTAGAAGAAAGAAAGGAACTTTCACTTCTAGTACTACCATCCTTGCTTTTTCGCAACATCCTCATCCTTTCTTTGGCCTCGTACTCCAACACCTTCTTCCGGTACACTTCCAACTCTTTCTCAAGCTCTTGTTTTTCCTTCTCCTTCTTTACCATGAGTTCATTCAAAAGCTGCAAAGCTTCTTGATCGTACTCGGATTGTTCTTCCATCATTCTCTGGTACTGCAGAGCTTCCATTTGCATCGCAGCCTTCTCTTCCTGAAGCCTATTTATCATTGCCATTGTCTGATTTGCAGCTACTGCAGAAGCGCTTCTCTCTTCTTCTAGCTCTGTGTACAAAAGATGTAATGCCTTTCTCTCCGCTTTTAATACTGATTTAAAACGTTCAACAGTCAAAATTCCTTCACCCCCTTCGAACTCACTTAGAACACTACCATCCAAAGACTCTTCAGTTCCTGTTTCTTTTTTCTCAAGCATCAACAATTTCTTGTGCAGGTGATGGAGACTTTCTATAGAAGTGGGCGTATCAGGAACTTTCTCTTCCTCAATCTCATTAAGCTCCGAGCCTAGTGAAGTTTGATTGTTTATCGCATGCTCACTCACCTCAACTGATATGGTTTTTAACTTTACTGACTCTTCCTCAGCTTGCTTAGAACCTAAAGTAAAAACAGTTGACATTAAAACCATTTTTTATTGGGGAGTCTTTGAGAGTAATAAAAAAGACAGCCTAGTGCACGAGACTCCTTACACTACGAATTTATTTCTAAAGGATATAAGATAAGGAATTGAGGCTTACCCTGATCGTCTTCTGCATTGAAGTTATCAAAACTGGTAGAAGAATCTTCATTTATGCATGTAAATGGAGAAAGAATTTCTTGATTTTGAAACTCATCTGTTGGTTCCAGATCAGGAATCTCAGTTCCTATTGATACCTCTCGTTCATTTTCATTGATGGCCAATTGAAATGTGTCTTCTGTGACTGCATATATAGAATCAATAGTTTAAGATTTTCAATCTAAATTTAACATTATAAGCATAAAATAAAAATGAAATCAAGTTTTTTCTAGAGCACAAGTGTACCTGCAGGAACAACTGAATCCGTTTCTTCTGCTTCTGCTACCGCTGTTTCTTGACCATCATAGGCATCCTTAGATGTAGTTTGGGGCTCAACAAGTTCATACACCTCCCTCACCAAATCACATTCTTTGGCATGGAATATAAGAGAATTCTCATTCTCTTCTATTTCCATGGATTCAAGCACTGCAAATTTGGCTTCCTTAAATTCATAGACAGCCTCAATTTCTCCCGAACTTGACTTATTCTCCACAATCGATTCATTTCGTGCCTCATCGCACCACTCAGAACCCAAATTGGTTTCAACATTGACATAATTTTCATCATCTTCCTCCTTGATTCTGTAATTACTCGAATTTTCCTCGGGTGTTAAATCGAACAATTCAACCGGAATCAACCCATAACCATCATGGCCGACAAAGAACTCCAGATGCTGAGTATGGATTTCAATGGATGGAACTTGTTTGGTACCAGAAAACAGATCTCCCATGATCAGACTTGAGTTATTTTCTTTAATGGATTCTTGCTCTGCCTCCATAACCAGACCTACTTTGTCATCTTCATCACATTCCAACTCTCTCAATCCAGAATTAGATACAGAAACAGAGCAATCCATCTCTGTTTCATTGACCTCAGAAACCATCTGGTTCTCACCTTTGTCCTCAATCCCATCATCATGGCTTGGACCCATCACCGTATCTGATTTGCTTCGATCCGAATTTTCGAATTCTTCAATCTGATTATCATCATCATCATCACCACCATCCCCTCCTTCTGTAATCAAATTTCCTTTCTGGGTATAGTCCAAAACACCCCAAGAAGGCTTGATCACAATATAAGGAGAGTAAATTTTTTTCTCCAAGCTCACACCACAACAAGAACATTTCAAACCCATTTCACCATTCTCAGTTACCTTCTCTGTTTCACTTTGAATCATTGCAATCTCTTTAACCCATGGAAAGAAATCCAAATTCGTTGATACCCCATGATTGCCCGGTCGCGAGGATGAGCAGTCCTCGCACAAATCTTGTGATTCGGCCACTTTCTGATGATTGGAGCAGTAATCCAGTTTGGAAATCTCTGTGGCGTGGGCTTCACAGAGAAGATCTCTGTGTAAATTCTTGTTCTTTGTGGGTTCGAAAATGTGATCGATACGAGAACACCAGAGGCAGGGTGTTTTGAGGCCGAAGTAATCTGCGAATTTGATGATCAGATAAGAGAACAGAGAATTGAGGAGGAGAAGAATTATTAGAATCCATTCGAGGACTGCGTAGATGAGAATTAGGGTCATTTTGTTGGTGTTTCTGTGCAACATGGTTGCGAATTTGTTGGCAGCCATTGCTGGTGCTCTCTTTCTTGGTATATACAGGAAGGAGAGAGAGAGAGAGTTAGTTATAAGATGAACCAGCAAAACTGGTTTATTTTGTGAGAGAAAGAAGAGAGGTACAGACAAGAAACAGGGGAGATAGTGGTTTTATGAGAGAGAGAGAGGGGTTTAAGGGGAAGTGGTTTTCTTCAGGGAGAGGGTTTGAATGAATTACTTTTCATTGTTTATCTTATTTTATAAAAAATATAACTTGAAAATGTTGTATATAATAATATTATAAATGACGGACTTTTCTCCAATATCAAATCAGACTGAAATCGTCGACAACGAATAGGGTCCGTTTGGCAAGAGGATTTGTGATTATTTTAGTCACAAAAGACAAAATAAATTATTTTAGTTATGACAAATAAAACATCATATTTAATCCATAATTATTACACTCTTTTTTTATAAAAAAAAGTCAAAAAAATTAACAAGTTAAAAAAAATTTCTCAAACCAAACTTTTTAACCCAAACTAAAATAATTAAAAAAATTAAAAAATTAAAAAACCAACCCACTCTCCAAATAGAAGTATAACATAGTTGGGAAATTCAATTGGAGAGAAACAATTACCATGATATAATTAGAATAATGTTTTATGTATTAATTAAGTGTATTAATTAGTATATTAATTAATGATGTGATATTATTTAAGAGATTTTTAATATTTATAATGTGATTAATAAGTGATATTAATAATAATGTTTTATGTATTAATTAAGTATATTAATTAGTATATTAATTAATGATGTGATATTATTTAAGAGATTTTTGATATTTATAATGTGATTAATAAGTGATATCAATAATAATATCATAACTAGAATTGATATACTAGTTAGTATATTAATTAGTACATGTAGTACCACCAATATAATTAACATCTTAGGCTTATTTTGAAAAGTGAGTTAAAAGTCACTTCCCAACTTTTAACCAACTTCTCTCTCCCACAAAAGAGTCAAAAAAGAAAAATGTTAGAGACCCCAAATAAATTATCAAATATTTTACCAAACCTCTCACATAGGGACCCACATACATGTAATTTGTTTGAATCCCATCTATATAAAAAATTTAATAATTTATTTAAAATTCTTAACCTAACTCATCCAAAAAAAAAAAATTAAAAAACAATTTTTAATTATATTTTCAAAACACTCCTAATATTTTTCACTGACTTCTTTATGTGTCAAGTAGAAAGAAGGCCAGACTCTAATCTCCTTGGATTTGATAAATAAAACCCTTATCACTTGGTTAGCACATAACATGTGATATGTATATATATATATAGAGCAATGGTAGAAGGCCCAAATTCTGTGGCTCAAATGTGGCTTTTGTACTCAAAACGACGTCGTTTTGGCCATTTTGATGTTGTTTTGTACTCAAAACGACGTCGTTTTGGCCATTTTGATGTTGTTTTGTACTCAAAACGACGTCGTTTTGACCATTTGAGCCACATTTAAGCCACAGAATTAGGGCCCCAAACATTTTTCATATATATATATACATATATTTATTTCAATTACATATGCATCACCTATTTATAAAGTGAAGAATTTTGGTGATGTTTCATAACCTGGATTCTTGTAAACATGACTTTATCCATCCCGAAAAATACATAGTGGTATTTTAAGAAGTTGATAAAAAATTAATTTTTTTAATTTTTTAATCTATTTTATTTTTTGTGAGTAAAAAATATAAAAGATTATGTGATTCAAAATAGATAAAAAATTAAAAGTTGACTTTTTATTGACTTTCCAAAAAAACTCCATAATATATGTGTTTTTAATCAAAATTAAAATTTATATTTTATAAATTTAATAATACATCCATCATTGGGGACACACTACGGCAATAAATTAATTGTAGGCAAAAATACGACTTCAATTATAAAATAACATGATTTAGAAAGTAGGTTTTAAAATCGTATAAATTTGACAAAGAATGTTTGCTTTCATGGTGAGACAGCCGAACAAGACTTTCAACATCAGAAAAGAATTGTGCGAGTCAAAATAATAGGAATTGTTTTCGAATTTTTTGATTTAATTCTTTGAACTTGTGACTTTTCATCTTGATGATACAGTTTATCCCAGTGAATGGAGGGAACTGGTCCAAACTTCTCAAACCCAAGTCCAAATGATCAAGCCCACCGGATAACCTGCAAACAAGTTCAGCGGGAACGGGGTAGTCCCCCAGTGAACCCTCCGACGAGCAAGTTAGGAAGAGAAGTAGAGTATAGAGGGAGAGATTAGAGATAGAAAGCTTAACATTTTTCTTGTTTTCAACGTTCGCTTATATCCTTTGGTAATCATTTCGCTGTCCCTTCCGACCTGCTCTCCTCGCCGAAAGCCTATGCTGTAGCTTACCTTGTTCAGGGTAAGGGGGTCCTATTCCCACGGAGAGGTATTGTCGTAATAAATGCTGTGATGGGCTGCATTAATGGTGATGTGCAGTGGCAATAACTTTGCAGATCTTTGTCTGCTGATGTGGCTCGTCCTTCTCTTGCCGTGTGTCTGAATGTCATGAGCTCTTTATGCCATATTGGACTCCAGCTGTCCTGGACCTCACCAGCTAGGTTATGCACTGGCTCCAAGTGATGGGCTTGGATTGTCCATAGGTGATTCGTGGCCTTTATGGGCTTATACACGTCAGTAGTCCCCCATTCCCGAGTGCAGCTTTAGTCCAACGAAGGGAATATTAATAACGTAGATGAGTGTGTTAGGGATTGGCAGGATGGAGGTCGACCGGCAGGGGTGATCGAGGGGGTGAACCGACCGGGAGGTGGTCCGACAGTGCAGGGCGACCGAGTGGAAGGGCCGATCACGGAGAGGACCGACCGCAAGGTTGGCCGAGTGGGATGGTCGACACCAAGGAGGGCCGACCGCAAAGGGGGGCCGACCGCGGTGGTTGGCCGAACGGGAGGGCCGACCGCGGTGTTGGCCGAGTGGTAAGGTCGACCGCTGTGTTGGCCGAGTGGGATGGTCGACAACAAGGAGGGCCGACCACGAAGGGTGAGATGGAGGGGCGTGGGGCTTGAGACGCGACGTGTCACGTGGTGATTTGAAGTGGAAAAGACAAGGTAAGGGGAGGAGACAGTGGATCGCAGTCATACACGTGGCAACATCCCGTAGGGGAGGAAGATTAAGCGTTGGATCAGAAATGAAACGGTAAGTCATTATGGGTGTTGAAGAGACAGTTTTGGCGAATGATTTTGAAAAGTTTTCAAACTGGCGAAAATTAATTGGGATCCTTGGAATACGGGCAAACCGTTGGCTTTTGGCATTATTCGATTCACCTACTTGTTTTCGAAAAATCAAAATATTCCAAGTGTGAATTCCTTTGTTGCTCACAATACACCTCTGCAACACTTTTTCAATTTCTTTGTATCTGCCGCCGAAGCGATTCGCAAACATACCACAGAAATGGCCCAAGAAGGAAATGCGATTGTCAAGGTGGACCCACTTGGAGATGATGATGCGGTGGAGTTAGCGCAGCAATACAGGATGGAGAGGGTGAGGGAGTCGATTGTACGATCCCACGGTTCCACCACGATAGCAGCTCCAAGGCCAATCAACCAGGCAGAACCTGATCACTGGCACACAAAGGCAGATAAATCAATGGTCACTGCAGCGGATTTGGAGGCTATCCGCGAAAAATACCAGGTGCCTGCCGAAATAGGGTTGTCATTGCCAACATCGACGGAGAGGCCATCTGATGCCAGGCTAGGGCAATTTGCCCTTTATGAGGAGGCATTGAAAGGAGGACTAAGGCTGCCCCTACCGCAGGTGGTAGTAGATGTCTTAAATCGCTTCGAGGTGGCACCGGGCCAACTAATGCCCAACGCGTGGAAGATCTTGCTGTCCTGTGCAAGTGCCTGGCCGAAGGTGAACGAAGGGGCGGCCATGACAGTGGACGAATTCTTCGCATGTTACAAGGCGTCAGGGCAGCAAGAGACTTGGGTCACTCTGCAGGCAGCGGCAGGGAAAGGGCTGGTGGCGGGGCTGCCGGCGTCGATCAAGGGGTGGAGACCACGGTGATTCTATGTGTCTGCCAGTGGAGGAGTTGGAGTGCGCACCATCTGGAAGGTGCCCACGACGACGATGGAGCCAAAGTTGGGGGCAGCAACAGAGGAGAGGGTGAAGAAGATGAAGGAGTGGAGAGAGAAAGAAGGGGCCAAATGGGACGAGCTCGTTCAGCTGTCTGCATTGTTTGAGGCAGGGTTGGGTCCACAGCCGAGCGGTGGGGACCTCGACCAAGCAGAGTTGGAAGCAAAGATGAGGGCTTAAGAGGTGGAGGATCAGACCATCCTTGCAAAAGCCCAAAAATTCAAAGAGTCCCAGGCTGACTGACCATGAAAACCGGTTGCAAGGGAGAGAATTCGACCTCGCCCCAAACCCTTGGGAGAGAAGGACTTAGGCGAATTTCTGCCACGACCGCCCCCAATAGACCCTTTGAAGGAGAGGTCTTTAAAGGAGATGGAGGCGTTAGGCGTGGTGAAAAAGAAGAAGAGGGTGAGGCGGAGTGAAGAAGAGCCTGCCCAGAAGAGGCGGAGGGAGACGAGGGTAAAGGAGACCAGTGTGGCCAAGGAGGCAAAGGGGGGAGGAAGTGGGGGGAATCCCAAGAAGAGTGATTGCCTCAGAAGTGGTGGACATCGCCTTAGAGGGCATGGAGGTGGTACCAGTGGTAGCGGCGATCGCCGCAGGGGTTGCAAGGGCCGCCCCTGAAGGGCACGTGGAAGATTAGACAACTGGCCCTGGGTCGAGGAGGGAAGAACAGCCCCAGGGGGGTCCTACACCTCAAGGAGGGGGGGTCAGTCTGACCACAGCGATCTACTATGATCGTGCGGTGGCGGGGCGGTTGGAGGAAGAAAAAGGCCCAACCAGGGCAGGGGCAGATCGCCTGGTAGGGATTGTAGAAGAGGCAGCCTTGCGCTCGGCGTCTAGATTCAACAAGGCTGAACTGCTAAGGGGGTTATGCTCTGCTCAAATGGAGGTAACCACCTTAGCAGGGGCGCTGCTGAGGAAGGCGGGGGCTGCCACACTCAAGGCAGACGAGGCCAAGGCTCAGCTTGCAAAGTTAAAGAAAAAGAGTGAAAGTTGGGAGAGTGCCCACGCTGATCTGCACGCGGTTAGGGTGGAACTGGAGGACACACGCCGCCAGGTTGTGTTGCTC